ATTGATTATGGAGAATGGTCGCTAGTAGATTCGGTTTTTAGTTGTGATAGTTGTTTAACAGGATGTGGTGGAATTTGTGGTAATAGTTTTTTCCACAGTGTTTTTCCTGGTTTTATTTTAAATCAGAATTTGAGCATTACATGTTTGGAGATGTTAACTGTCATTGTTTCTCTTAAATTATGGTGTGCTGTTTTGAGAAAGAAAAAAGTGGTTATTTATTGTGATAATCAAGCAGTTTGTATTGTTATCAATACGGGCAAAACTCGGAGTTTATTTTTACAAAAGTGCTTACGGGAGCTATGTTTTATTACCTCAGTTAATGAGATTCAAATCAAAGCAATTCATCTCAGTTCAGATGAGAATCGTATTGCGGATTGTTTGTCCAGATGGGATTCAGATCCTATGTATATTAATGCATTTTATGAACAAGTTTCTCATGTTTCTTTGTTGGAGAATGTTGCTGTTCCTGAAGATATTTTTAGATTTCTTCATGATTGGTAATTGTAATTTGTTTCAGAGAAACAGTTTGTGATTCTTAAACAGGACCTCAGGAAGTCACATAAATCAGCTTTTGCTGATGGTACCAACAAGAATTTGCATATACAGTGGGAAAGTTTCATCTTATTTTGTTTATATTTGGACTTTGTTATTTACCTGCTTCTACATCAACTTTACAATTATATGCTCAATTTCTTAGTAGATCTTTTAAATCAGTGCAAAGTATTAAGAATTACATTAGTGGAGTGAAGACATTGCATATGTGTTTAGGTTATAACATTGATCTTATTAATACTTATTTTACTTAATTTATCCCTTAAAGGTATTGCTAGGTTAAATCCTTGGGCTGTTCAACGTGCAGAGCCTATTACTTTAGATATTTTATTGGGGATTTTTGAAAAGTTGGATTTTTCTGTTAAAGACAATGTTGTTTATTGGTGTTTATTTCTTTTTGCATTTTTTCTTTGTGGCTAGAAAATCGAATTTGGTTCCCACTTCTTTGGATGATATTGATAAAGGAAAATTTTTGAACTCTAATTGTATTCGCCATTGTGGTAATTATGTTTTATACATTTTAATTGGTCAAAAACTATAGCAATTTGGAGAAAAGAGAGGTTATATGTCCCTTAGTTAGATTAAAAGATAGGAGGTTATGTCCTGTTACAGCTTATGATTTGCTTTTATCTTTGAAAATTCGTCAACATCGTCATGTGTTATTTACTTTACCAAATGGTTCAGTGGGTTACATATTATTTATTTCAGAAAAAGTTAAGGGAATGTATTCAAATGATAGGTTTAGATTGTGAGAAATTTTCCAGTCATTCTTTTAGACGGGGTTTTGCTACTCTTGCACATAGGTCAAATATCCCCCATGAGCTTATTCAATTACTAGGTGATTGGAATCGGACGCTTATAAGGTTTATTTAGATCTTAATTGGAATGATAAAATTTGATATTTTATCTAGGATGTTTGTATTAGAAACAGAATGATTTGGTTATCTGTTTTTCTTGTCATTCCAGGCCTGATGGTTCATATTATTTCTGATTCCATTGCCAAGGACGTTAGCGGCATTTGGCATACCAAGGTGATTGCCTTCCCAGGGATTAACATAGCCCGTCTCTCAGCTAGGATACAGAATGCTCATTTTTTGGTGTCAAAACTTTCACAATTATTCATGTTGGCACTAATGACATTAATTCTAGGGAGAATTATTCAGTTGATGAGATTATTAGTTTTTTTCAATAATCTGATTACTTTGATTAGGAGTATTAATTCTCATACTCATATTGTCTTCTCTTCTATTTTGCCTCGTCCGTGTGATTATATGGATACAAGTGCGAAAGTTAAACAAGTCAATAAGTTGTTGGAAGGTCTATGTAAAGAAAGGAATTGTCAATTTATTCATTCATTTAGGCCTTTTTTCAAGTTTGGTAAACCAATTCGTTCACTATTTGCTGTTAAAGACAAAGGTCTTCATTTGAATTTAGAAAGGCACGCGTTTATTACGCCGTTTTTTTCATTAATACTGTGTCGCATTTGGTTAAAGGTAAAGTGGTTCTGTAAGATGTTGTTTGCTCAGCATGTAGCACTGTATGTTATATATGTATATATTCATGTTTATATGTTAAGTTTATGTATGTATATAAGTTTGTTATTTCAATGAATGTAGCTCTGTCAAAATTGTTCATGGTGCTTTATTTTGATTCAGATACATAGTCTTTAAAGGGAGTTGTTCTTATTCCTTTAGACTTCTTGTACGTGGTTCGACAGTATCTTTATGTCTTACACGTTTTTGTTACCTTTTGAAGGAGGTTTTTGTCACTTCTTCGAGGTTAGAAGACTTGTGGTAATGGTTTTCTTGACGTTACCCTAGTCTTGTTGAGATTGATATAGTTTTGATTTTGCTGCATTCTTTTATGATTATTAGATTTGTTAAATTTGTAACATTGATTGATATGTATTTTGTCAGTGATTTGTTTTTTGTTTTTTTTGCTTTATGTTTTATGTTTTGGCGGGTTTTGGCGGAATCTGATTAATGTAAGCCCTTTTGTTATATTGACTTTGGACATTTATAAATTATCATGGATTATGTTCTATAATGTTAGTTCTTACATTAATCCATTATTAAGTAATATTGAGTTTTATGTACTTAAGTGTCATACATAAATCAATAAATATATTTCGGTACTTTATTTCCTGGAGTTTGCTTCTGATTTTGAGATAATTTAAGTATTTTTTGTGAAACATAAAATCTTTTAATTATCGATATTGACAGGGGTTTTTTGAAATTACGTCTGTTACCTGGCTTATTGTCTCCCTTTTAAAATCAGTGACTTGTTTTGATTTGCTTGACTGATTTTTTGTATTCATCCGCGGTTATTATAAATAAGTCGCTCAACTAGTTTTTGGTACAGTTTGTATGACACGTTTTTCATGGAATGTTAAATTTTGCCACTCCCGCCCGCCCTATTATTTTGTGTTTTTTTTATTAGGTACATTATATATACCTGTTGGTTAGTTTTTTGTTGTTTGTGTATTATGTCATCCAAGGGCAATTTTGTTTGTGTGCTGTTGAAAATATAGCAGAATCTGATTAATGTAAGGGCGGAATCTGATTAATGTAAGCCCTTTTGTTATATTGACTTTGGACATTTATAAATTATCATGGATTATGTTCTATAATGTTAGTTCTTACATTAATCCATTATTAAGTAATATTGAGTTTTATGTACTTAAGTGTCATACATAAATCAATAAATATATTTCGGTACTTTATTTCCTGGAGTTTGCTTCTGATTTTGAGATAATTGGTTCCAGTATTTATTCCTGAATCTTTCCTTAGATTAAATAACATCAAGGCAGTCATTTCTCCTGACAGTACTACAGATACGTTACCACCAAACACTATTATATGCCCGTTTGATCCATGTAACGAAATTTTGCTGTTCCTGTTACTTTGGAAAACCTCGCCGATTATTTCTTATTAGACATTATATTGAGACTAATGGAAATAGTCGATTTGTTGCTATTGTTTGCAGTAAAAATTACACCAATCTGAAATTCGACGTTTTTGTCACAACTAAACGAATTGTCAACAGCTGCAAAAATACTCGCGTGCTTTCTTTTAAAGAAGCAAACTTGTATAGATAGTAATGCATATCTCACTGTTTCAATGTCTATTTTATAGACTGTCATGTATATCCGTTTAGTGGCCCCATTGGATGCAGTTGCGTTTGGAAAGTGTAGTTGCTGCTTTTTTGAGAGTTACTTCCCTTTCTATTCTTTATTGTCACTTATAGTATATTGTAAAACAGTACATTTACATCTTTCGCCAGGAGCTTTATTTAGTATGAATACATAACATGTCTTAACTGAAACTAAGCGTTGTTAGCTATCAATCTATGTACAATTTTATATCCGTCATATAAGTCTATTAAGTATACAACATGATTGAAAATAGTTTTGTTTGAAATACTCACAAAATAAGTTTTGATTTCATCAATATTCATTGAGAAGTACATCTAGTTTTTTCTTAGCCTTCAAACTAAATTATTATGTCTGGTCATTAATAGTTTGTGTTTTGATTTATTACCTTTTCTGAATAATGTTATTTATGTACCAATATGAACTGATATTAGTGATAAGTTTCCATTATAATCCATTCTGTGACATGAGACTATGTTTAACAATTGAATTTCTAGTTTTTGAAACCTTTGTGTTTTATCAAAACCTTTGACTGGATCTTTCCAACAACCCGCATTGCATATTTATTTATAGTCTTTGATTAATATGCAAGTAAAGGAGAAAGTGCATTCACACAGCTCAGTATTTGCATAAATTATTCAGTTTCACATGTCCGACTGGTAAAGTTAGAGAAGATTTCTTTAAAAAGAATGATAAAGCCTTTGACACGTTGTAACAGTCAATGATAAAGATTTAGATTTTACTTTCTAAACACCAGAAGTTCATCAATACTAGTACCGTAATAACATATACACATTACCACGACACATGCATACATACAATAAATGTATCAACATTACAGATGCGGATATGCTTATTCTGTATTTGTGTATATTTTTAACCTCTGTATATTGATTATCAATAAGCAAATTTGATTACGATGAATTAAAATAATTATAGTTTTCCAATGCAAAACATTTATTTAGATTAATACGAAATGTAAACAATTGTTCTTTAAGCTAAATAAGGTTGCCACAAATTGTAAGTTTACCGCTTTGTTGTTGATTAAGCATTTTAACGACGTAAATAACTTAACCTAAAACAGAGGTAATAATATTAGAAAAAAATGGTAAAGATATATCATGATTTAAGAATTGCTGGCTTACAAAATTAAACACATGTAGTGTATAATGTTTAAAATCATTCGTGATAATAATGTTTATTAACATTGTCAACTTTAACAAATGTAAAGGGTGTCAGACCCTGTGAAATTTACTCATTAATGAATAAATTTGCATAATTGTGCATTTTTTCTTAGCGTGTCCATATGGACGGTTTGGTCAAAATTGTGGCAAAGAATGTCATTGTTTAAACAAAACACCATGCAGCAATACTGACGGTGCATGCTCGACAGGGAAGTGTGATCCAGGTTGGCATGGAAGTTCATGTAGTCAAGGTAGTTGATCTTTCTTTTGACACATAGTAATTACGTTAATTTACGACTGGAAAGTGACAAACACCGGAATGTTATCCGGGATGGACATGACTCGCATATTATGACGGTAGAGATATGTTATTATTGTCAGTCAAATGTTTCTTTGTAATTCTGCTTTAGGATAACAAGCTGAAAATAAAGGTTAATTGTTTGTTTTCAAGATGAATATCATTTCAAATTTAACACTGATATTTTATTTATGAGACACAAATTAAATGAATGCTTTAATCTATTATCTCCAGTGTTACCACAATATACAGTATCAAGTCACCAGAATGACCAAACGTATGTCGAAGTACGTAACAACATTTTAAAACTGTCACATAGTCCCAGCCATTATAAACATCTTCATAAAACTGGATCCCCGCGATAACGCAAAAAGTTCTGAAAATACTTTTATGAAACTTGATATATGGATGGATGGGAGTCTGTAAATTATTCACGTTGCTATGTTGAAAACGTTGGTTGCTATGCCAACGAATAGGCTGAAAATATGGCTAATTTTACACATAAACTGGATCGAGTGATAACGCAAAAATTACTAAAATATTTGTATGAAACTTGAATTATTGTTAGAGGGCAGTCTGGAGATTATGCATGTCTTTTTCATTTCTCCCTATGTTGAAAGATTTGATTGTTATGGCAACAAATAGCTTTAAAATATGGTAACTACAACAATATTTGTGATTACTCAAAAAGAAGTGAAAACATATTTATGAAACTTATAATATGGATAGATGGCAGCATGGATATACACATCTTTATAATCTTTGAAGTATATTGAGAGCTGTCCAAATCACTAATCGTCGGCGACCTCGTCAAGATTTCTTATTCAACTTTTTACACTTTTTTGAATTCCTTAATTATTTCTTCTAACGTATCATTTAAGTGATTAACCTGTCTGTGCTCTACCTTGTGCGCTGTCCTGTTTTTGTTTTAGGTCCTCCTGGACTCCTTGCTACTAGTTCTTGTTGCTAGGTCTTGTGGGGCTTGCGTTCATTGTACGCCGCCTTTCCTTTTTGATCTTGTTTATCATATATTATATTTCACTATAAGTTTTTTTATTTCTTAATGTATATACTTCAAATGTCAAATATATCATAACATCAACTACATCATATGTAACAAGGTTTACACCTCTAGCACAATCTTTATCAGAATTACCCCCCCCCCCCTTAAACATAGAATTTTCATGAAGAAAGTTAATGTTCCTTTTAAACTTCATTATTTCTTAATGTATATACTTTAAACTTCATGTATATGTGTCCTATTATCACTTAAATCATTTGGGAGAATGTTTAATACTCTAGCTTGGCAATTTCTAGAATCCCACTTGAACTAACATTCGTTCTAGAAGCTATTTCTTTTACTCAAACTTCTTCAGTTCTTATAGCATTTATTTTAAACTCCAACATCATAATATTATGACTAGCAGCCATAAAGATTACCAACAGAGTATATGTCAGTTTGTCTGTTTGTCCGTTCCTAAAAACTGTTTTAAAAAAAAACCTTTTCACCAAATTTACAAATTTACTTAAAATAGAGAGAATTTGAAACGTTCGTTATAAATATTCATCCTGAGAAAATTGGATCTTCTGATTATCTCTTGTATAAATATTATTTTATTAATAGGCAGAGAAACTTGACACATTACCGAGATATACAAAAGTTAAGAACTCCAAAGATTTAAGTTCATTCATATCATTCATTCATCCAATGGCATAATTCAATGACCAATGGTCCTTCAGAATGTTGCTGGGGTTCTAACCGGTATGGTATTCATGGATAGCTTGCAATACTATGATAATTGCTTGTTTTGATTGGAATAGAAACGTTCAGATTAGAACTAGAAGTCGTAAGTGTTTAAAATAATCTTAGTACGAACAAGTTATTCAAACTCTCAAGCTTTTGGTTGTTTATTATTGAACGAAATGTGTTTTGTAGAAAAAGTCATGATATATTATTTAAGGGCATATTTGTCTGAGTTGCCATAATGGGGTGCCTTCCAAGTGTTCCGTGTTGCTTGGTATATTTGAGGCTGCGTTTATTGATTGTCGCGGTCTGTTGTTGTACATCTAATAAGTTTCTAATTTTGTACAGATTTTAACTGAAACAATTGATTTGTTTTAGAATGTCCGTATAGAAGTTTTGGTTCAGATTGTGAAAATGAGTGTCATTGTTTGAAAAACACAACATGTAATAATATCGACGGTAAGTGTTCCATAGGATACTGTGATCCAGGTTGGCATGGCAGTTCTTGTAATGAACGTAATACTCCTATACCTACTACTACACAATCAACACTTCGCACATCTACAGCGGCTAGACGAAGAACGTCAACAGACGTTGTAAGTAACAAGGCGGCAGGAAATGTAAAGGCAGGAGAGATCGCAGGCATAACAATCGGTGTTATCTTGACTGTAGATGTAATTTTGTTCTCGTTCTTTTCGTGAAAAAAGGTAATTTTAAATGCTTGATCAGATAAAAAGATCACAAGTAAATAAATTACTTTTCCGTTACCATTTGATGATTATTTATGTGTTGAAATGTGCCTGGTAACACATACTAGTTTTTGCCATAAATCTCGTACATAGTTTTTTTACGCTTCTCATGTTTTTATTTTTATGACATTTTATGCGTCAAATATTTGTTTTATCTTCAGAATTATTTTCCGAGGTTTATCTATTTGTGTAATAAGGTCAAATGTACAAATATTACATTTTTTATTATTCTTTATGCTCTTATTTAATGTTTATGTTACAAGATTTGTGCATTTATATTTGCATAAGCAAACTAAGCAACACCTTATGCTAAAAAAAGGTGCATGCGCCTTATTTGTGCAATAAACACAATATTAACAATCTGATTCGATATATTAATGTTTTCTATCGATAAAAAGAGACCGCTGATAAGACAGGCCCCTGTTCCGTACGGCACCATTTAACAGTTTCGTTTTAAATCTGTTGCCTTATCAGGATATGATTCATACAGAGTCAGCCTTATTTCAATGTGCTTCTGTTATCTTAAAGCACTTTATATGGATTATTTACGCCATGTCGCATTTTCACTTCTTCGCCTTAGAAGGCGAAAATGCGAACGCGCGGAGGGACGACAAGTCTCTTCGTGTTTTCGCTTTTTCGGATTTTCAATGCAAAAATGTAACAATGCGAAAAAGCAAAACTGCGAAGAGACAATAAAGTATAACTTTGTCTTTTCCTTATGTTTTAGCATTGTTGTATTTTGAACCCGAAAAAGCGAAAATACGACGAATGGAATGCAAATATACGACAGGTTTTAATGTCGTATTTTCGCCCTCCTTCTTCCGTATCTCGCTTTTTTCCCTTGAAAATCCGAAAAAGCGAAAACACGAAGAGACTTGTCGTCCTTTCGTGTTTTCGCATTTCGTATTTTGAGTCGAAGAAGCGACAATACGACATGGCGTTAATCAACCATCATAATTATTGAATTTGAACTCTGACCTGCATCAAGCAACAGTTACTGTCTTTGTTTACAATTTCATTGCCGTTTCTTTCTTTTGTTTTTTTAAATGTTTTGTCTTTAATAATTGTCCATCCGTTACGAATGACTTAAAACGTCTAAACGACTACCTTCAATTATTTATATGACCTTAGTGAACAGCTATTACTAATATCATAACACACGATTGTGTAATAATTCTTTCGTGTTACTTTTGAACGTAGAATTTGAATAAAAATGCTGTGTTTAAGTGTGTTCTTCTTGGGAGATAACATAATATGACTATACTGGTATTTTAATAAAAGAGATACTATAAATTGAAGAATAAACATTTACGTTCTCCTATATGTATATCTATTACATACATGATGAAAGTCATATGCTTTTAAAAAAAATAGAGAAATACAGAGTCCATAAAAAAAGACTAACACGACAAAATTGTAAATGTTGCAGGCTCGGTTTGATTGAGCCTGTTCATGGACGGTATTGGAAAGTGCAAGTTACCGTCCACGCCCCCTAGCACCGGCTTAAGCAGAATTCAACATTTAAGTTTTATAAACTCTTTTCATAGTCATTGTCTATTTCTATTTTCTAAACAATTACCAGTTGGCAAGTTACCCAGGACATAATTTGCTTCTATTACATTTTGGCAATAAGTAAAGCTATATTGAGTTAGTGTTCTGTATGGAAGTCTTATTTTCCCGGATATGTCTTCGTTAGAAGTAATTAAACATTATATTTTCAAAACATACAATTCAGATGTAATTAATGAATAAATTGTATTATATTGGATAAAATGACATGCGGACACTCAATTTATAATTATAATGCAATCTATATGTTTAGATAATAAGTTTTCTTTCCCTTTTTTTCAGAGAAAAGATTTTGCGACTTCGATTACCCGTGTCAGCAGGAAATATATTGAGTTTTCTTTGCGATAATCATGTTCAGAATGTTTTGCTCATATGTATCAACATTTATGATAAAACCATAACTAACAGTATAACAAAAAGATTGATTTTCAGTTCAGTTTAATTTTCTTATCACTGAATATGCATGACTTTTTATTTAGGAAATTACTATATGATTGTTTTTTTGTTTCTTTCAATGTTATGTTATTTACCATATTTAGAATATTTATAAACATAATTGTGTATGCTTTGATCTTCTTTCCTTCCTATGCTGTTCTTTATTGGTCCAAAGTAAAAGTAACAGTAATAACTGTAAATTTCCTATCATCCGCCAAGTTTTCATACAATATCCGTTGCGCGGACAGGGATATACCTGAGGACCCCAACTTAGCATGTTATGTTTATTCTTTCGTAAGAATATCTGCATTATTCATCTTTGCGTTAAATGTGTGTTGGTTTGAATGTCAAAATAATCATAGCCATTTGAAACAGATTTTTCCGCTTAGACCGAGTTTGCGTCTTGCTTGGGTATGTCTTATTATATTTTGTTGTTGACGATGTTGTTCTTGTTGTTGTTATTTCAAACATTTATTTAGAAACATTCGTTACTTCGTTTTAACATTATTTTTGTTCTTTTCTTGTGCAAAATAACTAGAATCATTCAAAACAATCTGCTTGACTTTTGATGCCAGTTCGCAAACGTAACGACAACAATATAAAGGACATATATTGATTACAATGATTTCTACGTTGAAAAATGGAAAGTCATGACTTTTTTAATAAACAAACATTCAAAGTTTGCAGAGTACGAGGCAATGAACCACACTACTTTCGATGTGAACGCTTCTTTTGCTTCTCTGAGTAGTTTGTCTCCTCGTTACCTATGCTAGAAAAAAGCGCACATGCAAATGCAATGATTAATGAATCTTGATTACAACGGTTTCACCCCTCTGGTTATATAGCTAAACATATCACAACCAAACACTATTTGTTTCAAATAAAATATTCATATAAAAAACAGCAAAGATTGTTTTTATCAACAGAAGCACACAACCATTTGACATTCTTAGTTTAAATGTTTAAAACAAAAAGGAAACTATCAAGTTGTAAACGTCATTTTAGTACAGTTACGGTTTTAGGTTTGATTACAAATAATTTTAAACAAAACATGAGTTAACCCTTACTACACTATGGTGACGATATAATAGAATCAAAAATGATTTACCCCGCTATGTCAGGTTATCAAAGTTCATATATCGACGTTACAAAATGACCGTAACCACGTGTGTAGTGGCAATGTGTAAAGTTTTCGAAATTATAATTGATAACAATATATAAATAACACATGGGTTTGTGGGTAACAGTAAAAATATCATCCCGAGAAAAATACTGTTACCCGAGGCGTAGCCGAGGGTAACAGTATTTTTACGAGGGATGATATTTTTACTGTTACCCAAAAACCCATGTGTTATTTATTTTATTACCCCGAACAAAAATACTGAGATGATCTGAAATTGTCAACTAAATCTAACTGTAACAAAAATAAACCAAGAGTAACAATAACTAAACTGTCCTTACCTTTTAAGTTTTAAGTGTACTTTACTGTATGCCTACTTGAGAAGTTTTCTTTTTCTTTTATTCTTTAAGCATGTGATGATATCTACAAACCATAAACATACAATAAGCTAGGTTTTATTTAGGAAACAAAACACTAACCCATTTACACGGTTATGATCTGTGAAATCTGATCCTTCTGTTTCCAGAATATTCTTAGCATGGTTTTTGACAAAATTACGATGATATCCTATGTCCACCATATCTGTAACGTTTCACTGATTAAATTTGTTAAATAATCCTTTGTTGCATGCTTAAATCTTCTGCATGTTCCAGTTTGACACATAATTATTTACATTGCAATCACTTCCGTTGAAAACGGATGTTCACTTTTTGACTATTGAGCAAAAAGATATTTTATACGCGAAAAGCACACCAGGGTGCAAACAACTTAATTTTATGAGTGTCATAGGGACTCCAGAGGAGAAATTGATGTCCTATCGGGGTTAAACGTTGAAAATAAGAATGAATCGAGAAAAAAAATGGCGGCCATTTTATTTCATTTTATTTAGGAAATAGACCACGTGACCGCTTAAAAATACTGTTACCTATGTAACAGTACAAAATTTTTAGTCACGTGGTACACTTGCATTAACAGTAAAAATAACTCCCAGAGGCCTATGGGAAATTAGCATTACGAAAAAAGTGAGGGGTAATAATACAAACTATTTCTGATTTATTGCCCATGAAAATCGTACTATCGTCACTTGATTCACGATTCAACTGTCAACTGAACAGCATCTTAGGTTTATTTCGGCGAATGCATGGTACACTACTTAACCGTCTACAAAAAGAATAAACATTTATGTTTATACCATGTAATGTTTTTACGAGAACGTAATTGAATCACAGTTAAGTTTACTAAACTTAACTTTGATTCAATTACATTCTCGTAAACATATTGCATGATAGTGTCTTTTTAGCGCCCTGAACAAGTACAGTGCGATGTCATGATGTAATCTTTGGTTCTTTTTTTGATAAGTTAAACAAATTCCATCGCACAGTCATTGAAAATGTTTAATTAAAGCACAACATAAAATTCATCTTCAATAGTTAACTTATCACACTTTTCACATAGTCCTTTTCATCGGTCAATATTCTTATGTCTTCCTTATTCAATATTCCAATAATTTGACATTCTTATTTTTGATGTTATCTTTCTATATTTAACATTACAACAGTGTCATGATAACTATTCGTAACATTTCATTTATTTGGACCAATTAGGATAAAAGTAGTCCTTAAAGAATGTCAAAACGGCAAAAATAAAAAAAATGCATAAGATACTATAGGGTCAATTTGCTTGAGTCTCTTCCTATGTCAAACAGATTCTACATAATAAAATAAAATTGTCAACTCGTCCAATTTTAAATAGATGCAAATATACATTCGTATTTGCATATGTTGGAAATAACCAAATCTCTGCTGGCTGTAACTGTGTCAGTATTATGTGAACATTTTATATATGCCATTTTACTTACCAAAAAGGTTACTTTCTTTCTACGTTATAACCAATCTTTAACCATCCGTATGTTTGTCAGTTGCTTGTTCAAATAAAATGGGAATCGGCCTGTTTCAACATACACAGTAGCATGACAAGATGAATTTGTTTAACCTTCAAGGACAAATGTTTTAATTTTGCTTGAATTGTACTATAATTGGCTAAAACTTTATGAATGGATTTTCTTCACACCTGCAAACAAATCTTTTAAATAAACCAAATTGATTATGACATTCGCTCATCAATGCCCTTGATCTTGTATGCTAAAATTGGCTATAACTTCTGTTCTGTTCTGTTAATAATGCTTGTTATATAAAACCAGTTCTGCATTTATTTTACCTTCATGAATTTCATTAACTGCATATTAAGTATAAATACGAAAACGTATCAACTTCCAATAACATGATGTAAAATGGTTGTAAATATCAGGATTGCTTCTTTAGAAAACAACGAGTACACAATAAACTGTGATCTTTAGTTGTATGCTTTTTAATGTGGGAAACTTATTTTTCTCATCAATATGCTTCATTGAACGCCGTCTTTTCTTGTTGGTCTTTTTTATCATATTTTAATCTGGACTTAATGTTTATTTAGATTTCCATAGCATATTTTTTGGTAGAATTTTAAATACCCGCAACAGGTAGACCGGTAAAACACCGGGAAGCTGTAGAAAGCTAAACCGGCAACAGTAAGTATTTACCGGGTGACTGGAAAAATTCCACTGTTGCAGATTCCTGATTATCGACAATCTAATAATTATTGTGTTTGTAACGTATCTTCTTATTTTGTTTTTGATTTATCGTTACAAATGGTACATATTGAAAGGACCATTATTTCTTGAAAGTTTAGATTCACAATTTAATTTCAGATTGATGTAAACAAGTTTTAAAACGTTGGAGCGTCACAAATATTAAAATTGAAAGTAATTATTTTTAAATGAACAGTTTTAGACAAAAAATAATACACATAATGAGATTAAGTTTCCGATCATTTTGATATAATTAAGATAATTTTCTGTTGCCGGAATCTTAAAAAATGAGTGATTATGAACTTCGTGCATTAACAGAAGAAGCGGAAACGTCTGAAAAGAGCAAAGAACCTGGATCCGATCGGTATGAAAGTAGAGACTATGTTCTTAATGTAAAAGAAACTACATGTAACGGAGCGAGAAGACGTATCATTAAGAGAAACTGCTGGAGGTCTTAGAAAAAATCTCAATAAGGGTATGTACGAACTTTTGAAACAACCTGTAGATACATTCTACAATTCTGAAAAAATACTGAACAAATGCCAAGAAATTCTTTTACATGACAAACAAGGCAATCTTTTTGAAACAAAATATAAAATAACACCCGGAAGACAAGGGATACACACTTTAAATATATACCATTCCAAGTTTGATAAATGGGAAACAACAAAACGTGTTCTTTGAAAAAGAGTTACCAGAAATACTCAAAATACTCGAAGATCATTTAAAAACCAATAATGCGTCTGCTAAAGAAATTAATAAAAACATTCAACCGTTAATTCTGTCAAGTAAGTCAACAAATACCTCTGAAGAATGTTCAACTGATACGGCGATCACGAGCAGCATATTTCACTTCACCCTCACTAAGAGAATATTGATAGAAACCAACGTAAACGTTTTGTTTGCCAAATAGAACTTTGCCAATATCTGCCTAGCTATAGGTTGGCATCATTATAGAAAATTCAAGAGGGTGCCATCAGCAGGGAAGATGATGGCTTCAATTTTTTGTTCAATGGCTACTGTCAATTTCAGATCATTTTCGATCAAAATCAAAGTTTCCTACTAACAGAACCGCTCATAATAAGAAGAGTAGCACGGAAAATAAATATTTCTATCAATCCAATGATTATTCCTTAGAAATGAATTGATCAATAGATACTCCGCAACCAGTATCAGCAGAAGACCAGATACATGACACAAACCAAACAAATGATAAATATATAGAGCCTTCAATTAGCAAAATTCATGATTCAGATTCACCAACCAAATCTATTGTAGGGGATTCTATTCTGAAAGAAATTCATACATGAGGTCTCAAAAACGATGTGGATGTGCTAACATGTCCAGGGAAGCAGACAAGTGATGTTTGCTTTCGTCTGCGAA